GACTGGCCACATGAATCCTTGTGAGTCCAACTTCAAGTTGTCCTTTCCAACCTTCTTCATATAATACCTTTTCTCCTTCATTTCTGATCCCCTTTCCATCGTTTGCCGTTTGATCTGTTATCCCATTCAGTGTTTGATTTGCCAGAGGATCGGACAGGTGACGACCGACGAGCCACCTGTATCCGACAAGACCCCTTGTTACGCGTGGGCACTCCGGCTCGGGACATTTTCGAGAAGAATAATCAAATGTCAATTGAAGTGAAATTCAAGATCTATACCGACCTCGAGGTCGACATGAATGCTCCAAATCAGAGCACCCCAAAGGTTGGGGCTGGTAAGAAGGCACCGAAGTCAGCCAAACTCAATTTGATAGACTCTAAAGCAATCAACAGTCATTACCTCGAGATCAAGACTTGTCCGTTTGGAAAGAGTCTTAACGAATTTAAGGAGCAGGTGGCTGAAGCTTGTGAAGTTTATGAGCCTGGTATGAAAAAGATTATTCTCAACAGTTCTTTCTCGCCAGACCTGAAGTGGAAAGCCAATGTTGGCCGGTCCAAGTCGGTTCTCAACGATTACGAACAATGGCAACTTTTTGTCGATGCTCTTGAAAAGTCGACCAAAAAATCGGGAGTCGTTTCAATTGAGAATGAAAATGTACAAGTCAAAGCGAAAGATGGTAGTAAGGTGAGTTGTCTTTCCTACTAGATTCCAATTTCCTATTTTTGTTTGTCAGTCTAATGACTTTGCATCGATAGGCATCTGCAACTAAGAAGCTGATTGCGATGGCTAACGGAGGTGGGGTAGATGATCAAGAATTGGAGGTGTGCAGTTGACAATATCTTCAACATCTAGTCTTGACTGATTTTAACGATGCTTCACAGGAATCAAAGCAAGAACGAGAGTTGCAAACTTTGGCTAACCAGATTTTTAGTCAGCATGCCATCGACAAGTCGACCGGAGGCCCTGGAAAGCTCTTGACCACCCCGTGGGATCCGACTTTTCAATATCAATTGGTGTACCCCGCTGCCTGGATATGGGCTAAAGGTGTGGTGTGTGATTGATGAAGTACCTTCCTCGCTCATCAATATGGAGCTATCCACTGATTCACACCTTTATATTCATATAGGCGGCCAACATTGCAACCGTCGATATACCTCCAAACACTTCGGAGTTTTGGTACGAGATCAAGAAAACTCGATGGATCCACCCTGACATGGGGGTGGATCATCGTGTTCAACTTCGTTTACAAGGTCGCCCTCGAGGATCCCAAGGGATCAACTCGAACACTACCCACGTAGGTGTTGGTGGTTCCGGTTTGAAGGACAGTTCGGGCCTTTTGCACTCCAGC